CTGTTCATAGATGAAATATGCTCAAAGCGATTTCCGGTATCGAAGGCTTCCCAGCCGCTACTAAGATGCGTTTTGCAGGACGAATGAAAATTATAGGACTCGGTGAAGACCAACCCGATAGGGCCAGATCTATCTTATTCTTTATAGGAAAGTCCGCTCAGTGGTAGCATGAAAGCGGATAACCAAGGTAGGGTAGGAAGACTGGGGTTGTTGACCTACACTTTCCTTAGTGGATGAAGAGATAACTCTTTCTACCCGTCAGAGATTTCTTCTCTTACGAGATTTTGAGCATTTCTGGAATTCAAACCTACTAATTTTTTTTGTTCAAATCTAGATCCTTTGGACGTCAAATCCGTATTTGAGTCAACAAATCCACTGGGAAGCGGAAAAGCAGGGGGAACCGGGGAAGGAGCTACACCACCAACCTCTTTCTGCCGGGGTTCGAACTACTACACCGAATTTAGGGACTATCCCATGAATCAAGACTGAAGCTGGACTAGCAGCCTCGCCCATCCACACCACTGATTGCTTGAATTCCCTGGCGGCAACCCAACTCATGATGAATCTCTTGCTGCAACATAAGTCTCACCCTTTTCAACCATCAATAAAGAACAGTACCAGCACATAAAACGACTTGCTCTCTGGAATAAAGTCTTCTTCAATGGCTCACTTCGCAGGTAAAGTTCTCTCTTCTTCCTATTAGTAAATCCGGACATCAAATGAAAGAGCGGAGCCCCTATTATGTAAACTACAGCGCTTCGCTTCTACGACAAGCTTGCTATGATTCTAGGGAATGGAACACACACTCAATCGGCAGCCAAAAGGTTCTGGTTCACTTGAAATATCAATAGATATGGCTTCATTAATAGTACAGAAGTAGCTCTATTTACTTGCCCCAACCGGCCTTTTGGTAAGGGATTTGGTGCAGCTTAGCATGCAGAGTCATAAAAACCAAAGCAAACTCACCCGTTTTCCTGTCTGTTCTTGCTTGAATATGTCTATAGAGAGGGTCCTATCTAGCTTATTTTTGAACATAGAAAGCTTATAGGAATCGGAGAAGAGAAATCCGGAGGAGTTATCGCAGGGAACAATGGGCATCCCTGCCAGGAAAACCAAGAGTAGAGTGACGCGAAGGACCTGACGCAACTCTACTACCGCCCTTCCTACCAAAAAGCTAACCCAACCGAAGGAAATGACATAAGGTCTGGTAAGGGCTATAAAGAATAAAAATCTTTCCTCCCTTTCGTTCTACTTAGGTGGAGCAATCCGAACTCTCGACAGAATAGATAAGAGGTTTTGATTCCTGTGTAAACACCTCAACGAACTCATGTGGACACTCCTCAGCTCGAGGACCTCAAATACACATTAAGATGTTGACCCGTTTTTCTTTTCTTTGCTGATTCCTCTCAATGAAATTTGCCATGTTGCACTAAGTTACTTACGGATGTATCCATGCAGTCCGGGAACACTTTGGTGTGAACACCCATCCGAACGAGTAGAGTCAATAGTTCAGCATTTAGGCTGTAACATTTAGCAACAAAAAAAAGTCTTTAGCCCAATAAGTTCTATTCGTACCAAGCTAGATAGTCTCCTATCACTAGGCTCACCAACCTACCTAGACTTTGATTCTTATTATTCCTACTGGATATCAAAACCATAAGGATTGTTTCCAGCCATGAGTTCCCATATGACATAAGCGCTATTGGGTGTGGGTGGGCCATTCCATCAAATCGGTGAGAAGGGGCCCAATCTCGTATTTTATGGTTGGCGTGGCGATAGACTTCGCTTCTACGACTGCCTCCCCAGCCGTTGCAAACACTGAGCGAGAACTGTAAAGGGCGCACAAACTATGTCGTTGTGGGGATGCAATTCACCAAGCTGGGGCAAACTAAGCCGTCCGGGGTTGGTGGGGCGGATTAGGAATGCGAAGGTCTTTACTTCGAAAGGAGACCCGCCCACTATTACCACGAAAAAAGCCCTGCCATTTCCTTTGCTACTAGGAAAGTAAGTAACCTCTATTAGCGTCGGACCTTGAGTCGAATTGATCGTGTCATATGCAACGTCCATCAATGATGGTTCATTAATGTCCATAGATTTAGACTCCTTCCCCCTTCCCTACTACGAAAAAGATCGAGAGGAGCCCGAACCAAACCAAGAACAAAAACGGAAGCCTTTCAATTCGCTCCCCATTCTCTCTTAAATAAAGCTCGCCCTCGAGCCATGGGTGGGCCGGCCGGGTCTTTCCCTGTTGTTCTGTTCCTGCCACGAGAAAGACGCACGGAATAGGTATGCCAGCATGCCAAAGAATCTGTTAAGAGTTTCTCTTATCTCGGTATGGAACTGTACGATCTTTTCCCCAATTATATTGAATCAATAAAAAAAGAGGTCAATGCTACGGCCCCTATTGCTTGTTTTGTTTGATCCAATATTGACCGGGGACGAGCCCCGACTTCCATAGGTCCTGGATTTGACCTCCTATAGTGGTCCTTGCTTTTTATAAAGCGGAGCGGGGCCAATTTCTCGTACTTGCTCTGTGTGCCCACTGGACTGTTGGCCTACGCTTCGTGCCTGCTGCTCCCTCTGCCCGCTTGATGGGCGGAGCACTCGTTATCCTTACGGTTCTGTTCTGTTCTCTCTGCTGGGGCCCCTCCCATTGCTCTAGCCATAAGCTATGGCAGCTCCGGCTCGCAACCACGGGGGCCCGCCCGCCCCGCGGGGCCAGAGTGGGCTCAGCAGTCAGCCTTCATTCGAATGGAGCTAGGGGGTCTTTCGCTTTTGCCGGATCTAGAGAGATACTACGAGTCCTCCATCCCACATTCCATCGCCGCAGCCATCTGGTTCATCGGTACTACCAAAAAGTATCATGCTTACATTACTGTTATTGATGGTTTTATTATTTTGGACTACGAAGACCTTGGTCATGCTTCTGGTTTTCATTCCCATTAGAATATTGATGATAAATCTCCTCTTGCTCTGCCATAAGAACTTGGAGTCTGTATCATGGTGAAGGTAAGGTAACGCTGTGATTCTTGCTCAAAAAACAGATCGAACACGTTCGAGTTATTGGCTCGTCTGACCCGGCAGCATTCATGAGTCTCTCGTTCAACTGTCCCTCGGAGACAGGGTCGAGAAGTACCATGCATGGTTGCCCTCTGTCCTTTATTTCTCTCGGTCCCACCCAGAAAGAGACGGCTTAGCAAAAAAAAAGTGAGCGCCCCTGCGCGAGCCTTTATTAGTAAAGGCAAGCTTTGGCTCCCTAAAGACTCAAAAAATGAATCAAAGAAGGGGACTTATGCAACAGGCTATGCCACCCAAACCAACTGAGGGAAGTCGCATATGTCCCATCGCAAGCACCTACAATGTCATGATCATGTAGGTTTACCCTTTTTCTTTGGTAGTTCAACGGACGGTCGCCCTTCCTATTATGTTGCCTAGGAACATTGACCCTCGAGGTGGTCTGTGTAATAGTACAAGATTAATTGTAACACAAATGACAGCATATATGATAGATGCTAAGTTTACTACAGCTAAAATAGAGTTGGCCAAAAGGACTCAAATATATTTGTTTCACCGTCTGAAGTTCTAGGTTCCCATTTAGAATGAGACGTCCATAATTTTTTATAAGTTTTGCTTTCGCAATAACTATAAACAAAAGTCACAGGTAGAGAAAGTTGGACTTTTCTTGCCAATATTGGTGTTTTCACATGGACAGTTATATGTAAGTTGTCTCTAGGACAACAGCGCGGTTTGGTTTGAAGATCTTAATAACTGGTGAGAAAAAAAAATCAAAAAACGAACAATAAACGTTGTTTATAATGATGTTTTTCAGAATATCTAGCATTTCTATTTATTTGGATTTTTCTGATTTTATGTATTTAGTTGGTTTATCTGCGAGATTTGGAATACAATTAAGAAAATTATACACATGTTTTGCTATATGTTTTATTGGATTTTATTTTACTTTGTTTGGCTTATTTAAGATTGTTCAAATAAACTGAATTCTATGACTATACGGAATCAATGTTTAATAGGACCGCTACTATCTGCACTTTTTTACAATAAATCTCGCATACTCCAAACGCTTATGAGTTCTCTTGTGATGACGTGATTCAATTATAACTTGATTACGTTCATAAGTAACAATAAAACTCAAATAATTTATTAGTACATTCTTTGGCCCGCGCATGGCGCGGACAGTACACCTAGTTGTTATGAAAAGGTATGACTTAGCCAAATTTAGTAATATTAGGTATAAATTGATCTAAAATGTTATTAATGTATGGATTAGCACATCAATAGAGTGAGTGTATAAATGACTTTTTCGTACTTTTGATGTATGAAAAATTTGGAAGTTCTAGAATTATACGAAATACTCATTGACATGTCCGTTATTTTGAAGAAGTTTGTGACAAAAATCTACTGCTCAAAATAACTCTATCTACAAAATCAAGTATGTCATCGTATACTAGCAGTTTCTGTGCGATATATCCATACTATTATTTCAGGTTCACTTTAATGTTTAAACACATTTCATGTGTTATATTATGATTTGTGCCATTGTATTTTATTCTTCGTCTTAGATTTTCATTAAGGATATTTTAGTCAAAGATTTTAGACCTAATTCAAGTTAACTAGGTGGTTTGCCCGTACACCCTGTATGAGCTGTAACATACTACAAAAATATTCAACAAAATAATAAAATAAATACTGGCAACTTGTTATAATAATAAATCAAATGCACCTTTTGAGTATTTGTTTCTCTCGTGGAGTTCGGTTCCGCTAATGTGATACGTTTGTATGTCAAACACAACATATACTGGGGAAAAGCTTGAAGATTATAAGTTGTAACCCACGTCCATCATTACATACTAAGACATGGCGTGAGTCGTTTACTGAAGTATTTTTGTTTTCTCCATTTTGTTGGGTAATGCTTACACAAATTGCACAAGTAGGTAAGCAAAACCAGACCAAAGATAATATTTTTACATATATATCTTTCTCTACTTGAAAGCATCTGAAGCAGAGCAAAGGAAGTCCAAGAACGTTGTCCCTTTCGATAGACCTCTACCTGTCAACAGCTCAAAATCTAACAGCAGCAAGAACCCTATCACCCTCGCTTTCCCGTTAATCACTTCGTTCTTTGCTGAGAAACCAAATTCTTTAGAACCCTCGTCCACCAGCATTTTCACTTGATTCACAAATTGTTCATCACTCATTTCATGTCTATCTTTTTGATTTACCTCGTCTACATTGACATTCGTTTCTGTGAGTCCAGGCCGAGCTTTTCCACTGAAGATGATCTCGGCAGCTGCATCGGTTTTCCTGTTGTCTCTAATGCTGATGTAGATGTTTTCTTAATCAAATTTGACAGAGTACACAAATAGTTCTCAGTGCAGTTATCAAGACTCTAAGAACCGGGTTTTTTTGGTACCATTCTCAGATCTCTCCGGTTCTAAGATCAAATGTACTGTTCGTTGATGGGCACACAATGCAACCATCATGTTGTAAATGCAAAATAAGAGAGGAACAATTTAGTGTTAGAGAAATCAACAAAATTAGTGATCGGAAAGTAGTAATAAACTAAGACGTTAGGCATTTTAGTCGTAGTTGAAAACCATAACAAAAAACACCATGAACATGACATTCATAGCATGTGATGTAAAAATATAAAGCGAACCTTTCATATACAATATCCGTAACATCTCAGGTGACTAACTGATTTAGTGAGAAATCAAGTAATTTTCAACATAGCAAAAATTTAACAGATCCAAACAATCTTATATAGCATTTATCATAACCACATTTCATAATGGGGTAATACAAAATTTTCTTAATCTAACTCTATTTACACATTTACATTCCTGTAGAAAGTAATCAAATGATACCAAAGCTAAGGCAGACGGGAATCAAAACCTATTACATTGTCTACTGATTTGGAAATAACTCAATCCATGTGGTGATTACTGATTAAGAAGGTGAAGAGATCTATCCCATAAGGGTCACTTTCCTAAAGCTATCACTCAACTCGGTCAACCATTTTCACAAACACCTTATATACTCACAAACACCGACGAAGAAATCTCAAACGACAGAAATAATAAAAACAATAAAAGACGGAGAAACCTGAGTTAGCTTAACATTGAGAAGTCCCTCACTGTGGAGTTCGGTTAGATGCTCAATGGCTTCATCAAACTTTCCTTCACAGAGCTTCTTGAGCAGCTTCGCAGTTCTCATCAGTCACCTCCACTGATGCATCCTCATATGTGTCAACACCAATGGAGTTAAGAGACATAGTCAGAGAGATATTAGTAAAATCGAAAGCTGAGGTTTCGGTCAAATTACCTTTTGAGGAAGATCATTGTCAGGTTCAACAGTGTCTCCTTCAAGCTCTATATCAAATTCAACAATCGCTTCCTCCACTTTGGGTTTCGGTTCTTCGGTCTCCTCCATATCACCATCACTCTCTTCTTCCACTACGAAACTCCTCTGTTAATCAGAACCAATCAATCAAATTACAAAATCTTCTGCAAAAGATAAACGAATTCAGACAAACATAATAATTGCATACCGCTTCGGTGTCTTTGTGTTCTTCATTAGCACCAAGACTGAAATCATGCGGTGTACAAAAAAAAACATCAGAAGGAGAAAAACCACAGAACACTACTCAAATAAACCCAAAATTCTTGGACCATAAAAAGTACAATAGAATAGCCTCACAGATCAAAGATACAAACAAAAAGTTCAAATCCAGGAATTTAAAACCAAAGTGTGACCTTTCTTCAACAAAAGGGAAAAGGGGATATCACTTTCACGAAATCTCAGTGAGATTCAGCAAATAACACACTATCCACAAACATAGACTCAAAGATCCATACTTTCTGAGTCCCAACCGCCACAGATACAAACTAAAGCATAAAAAGACGATTAGATCAAAGCAAAAAAAGTTAGAGAATATGAAAAGTACTACTTCTTGCGGTACTCGCAGAAGAAAGAGACCGTAGGTGTAGAGAGAAGGGAAGGGTACACTGATCAATGAAGGCCTTGAGCTCACTAAGCTTCGTCGAATCCATCTTTGCTTCTGATTGGAGAGAGAGGGACGGAGACAGAAAGAGTGCATTTGATTTTGTTTTTCCATATATCTTTAAACAAAACAAAAAAAAGATCAGACTCATACCAAATAAAACAAAAAAAAAAGCCTCGTCAATAAAAATATATAGTGTTCATCTTTGTCTGGATCAAAAGGAGAAGAAGAGGGCTTCGATTCTTACCAGTAAAGTGAATATTATGTGGTCTGAAGCTCCATGTGAAAGACAAACATAACTATCAAAAGAAACATACATTTTTGTTTAATTTTTTAGGGCTAACTTTAGTTTGATTTTCTCCATTATATTATTAATTGGCAAACAAATTGAGCTCTGGTGGACACATCCCAATATCACAGTTCTTTTTCTTTAGTGTTTAAATCTTCAGTCTCTTCGAAAATCAAACCATTAAAAATGACAGCCGGAAAAATTTTCCTAGGACTGAAAACCTCCTTCCCTGTTTCGCCGCCGACCGGCCCCACGCCGGTTGACGAGAAAACCGCCATGGCTAAAAAGAAACAGGGCCGAATTCCCTCTGCCTTACCTGGTTCAACCAAATTTGCTCGTGTCGTTGCTGCTGCTTCCGCCTTGGAGGCTGTCAAAAAGGGTTCTACTTCCCCTGGCTCTTCCGCTGATGGATCTGTTGGTATCTCATCGGATGGAGCCATAGGCGAACTCCAGAACTCTCCTCCTCCGCCGTCCAGCGTCGAGTTGAAGTCAGATCTGGAACTATCGCCCACCCCGATATCTGCACCCAAAGCAGATCTCGTTTCTCCTACTACCGGAGCTCACCTGGAAGGACAGATTTCATCCCCAAAATCAACCATTACCGGAATTATCTCAGCTGATGGGCTTCCAACCCCTGCGATACCGCCATCAGAGCTGGCTCCTGCGGGCACCCCCCGTAAATGGTCCTCACTTGTTGCGGACTCGTCTCGACTTGACAAAATCAGAACTCCAACGGAGCACGTATCAGGAGCTCCGTTCGTGCTCATACCAGATGAAAATCTCGAAGCAGCGAAGGCCGAGTTCAAGGACTTCATCTTCGCTCGCTTCCATGGTGACTCTCCATCAATGGGACGGATAATTGGTGTCATCAATGCAATCTGGGCTAGCTCGGGACCGAGAATCTTTGTTCACTGTATCGGAAAAGGCACATATCTCCTTCGTGTGGTCAACAATAAGACAAGGGAGCATATTCTCAGTAGAAGCATGTGGACCATCGCTGGACACACTATGTTCGTAGCCCCTTGGTCACCTGAGTTCAATCCTGATCAACCGCCGCTAACCTCAGCGATAGTCTCGGTTGAATTCCGTAACGTCCCATATCTGCTGTTCAATAAGGAAAGCCTGAGTAGAATTGCAACGGCAGTTGGAAAGCCAGATAGCCTGGCCCCGGAAACAGAGCAAAAGGAAAATTTTGAAGTTGCCAGGGTTTTTGTCAGAGTAAACTTGACAAGGGATCTGCCCTCAAAGGTAATCTCGGGGTTCTCCAATGGTCGTGAGGTAGAGATCAGTGTATCGTACCCATGGTTACCGCTCAAATGCGATCTCTGCAAAAGTTATGGCCATGAGAGGAGGAGATGTTCTGTAAAAGAAGCAGTATCGACAAAAAGTCGGAGAGATGAACCCCGATCTCCAAGTCCAGCAAGTGCGAGGAGTGGAAAATCTCGTAATGGTCGAACCCCAAAACGTCGATCATCATCTAAGGTCACCAACCCCACGCCGTGTGCCAGCACTGATGAATCATTGCCTCCCCCTGGACAAGCACCGGAGGAAGTTCAGAGGGCTGCAAACTAGGGATCCGATGTGGTCGTGGCAAACCAATTTGATGTTTTGAAACCACGCTCCGTAGGAAATACGAAGGAAGAGTCATCTGCGGATGCTATGGAGGAATCATTGGACAACTCCACTGAACCCACGCGAATGGAGCCTATGGAGGTAGAAGAAAGAGAAGAAAGAGATGACCCCTTCTTCCTGGCTAACCGCCAGAAGTGTAGCCGCAAGGCTGCAATCCACTAATCATTGTAAATATGTTTTTTACGTGGAATATTAGAGGGCTGAATAGTGTTAGACGCCACACTATGACTAAAGACTGGATTAACATCCATAGACTACTTTTTGGCGCGTTCTTGGAAACGCATATCCATCAAACCAATGCTGTGAGGATTGAGAGAGCCTTACCAGCAGGATGGAAATTTTTTGGAAACTTCGAGCATCATAATACGGCGCGTATTGTTGTCGTCTGGGACCCAGCTATTTCGACTATCTGTTATCAGGCTTCGGCGCAGATGGTAACATGTGGGTTCTTTATCCCATTGCAAAACATCAGCATTACCGTTTCCTTTGTGTATGGCTTTAATGGAGTGGAAGCAAGGCGGGCTCTTTGGGAGGAGTTGTCTGCTTTGAATGCCACTACACCAGTTTCAACGCACCCCTGGGCTGTCATTGGAGACTTTAATCAGATTATGAGATCCTCTCAGCATTCCAACTTATCCGGTATGGATATTGACACGTCCGGTATCGAAGACATCTGCCTTGCTATCCAGGATGCTGAGTTATTTGAGGCACAATCCAAAGGTCTTGCTTATACCTGGTGGAATAATCAAGAGGCTAATCCAATAGCCAAGAAGCTAGATCATGCTCTCATTAATCACGCTTGGTCTACCAGATTCACTGAGGCCTTTGCTGAATTCCTGGACCCCCTGCAATCGGATCATGCAGTTTGTATCTTCAGAGTACCCACGTTGTGTCCAAGAACGTGTAAACCGTTCAAGATTTTCCACCACGTGATTGATCTTCCCCAGTTTCAGGACACCATTCGTAATGCGTGGGTTTGTGATCAGGTGACAGGGTCTGATCAATTTAAGGTTGTAAGATCTCTCAAGCTGCTTAAGCCGCTCCTACGCAGACTAAACACTCGCAATTACAGTGAGATTTCGAAAAGAGTTAAGGAGCAAGCAACCAAAGTTACCGCGCTTCAACGAATTCTCTTGACAAATCCGGATCCCATAACAGCGCGATTGGAGCATCAGGAAAGGGCAAAGTGGCAATCGCTGCTTACAGCGGAAGAGAAGTTCTATAGGCAAAAGTCCAGAGTACGATGGGCTCAGCTGGGAGACAGAGACACTGCTTTCTATCACAAGACAGTGGCACAACGAGCAACCAGGAACCATATCCACTTTCTCAAGGACACAGACGAGAGGGTTTACTCTACTTCAGAGGAGATTAAGAACCATGTCGTGCAGTACATTCAGGGCATCATTGGTTCTACATCAATGCCGACTACCCCGACAACAATTGGCCAGTTACAAGAACTCCTTCCGTTCAGGTGCTCAGAAGCTCAGAAGTCTGCTCTCATTGCCGAGGTATCGGCAGAGGAAGTGACAAAAACAGTCCATGGCATGCCTCTCAGTAAGAGTCCAGGGCCAGATGGCTACGCGGTTGAATTTCTAAGGGCTTCATGGGCTACAGTGGGACCAGATATTGTGGCTGCAGTAAAAGAGTTCTTTCGGAATGGGCGACTGCTAAAGGATTTGAATACAACGGCAATCACGCTTATCCCAAAGCAGTCAGAATCCTGCAAGTTGGGGGATTACCGACCTATCAGCTGCTGCAACATTGTCTATAAGGTCATCTCAAAGATCATTGCTAACAGGATGAAACCGGTCTTGCTTGAATGCATCAGCCCAAATCAGGCTGCATTCTTAAAAGGTCGAAGCTTGGGTGAGAATGTGTTGCTATCCTCTGAATTGATCAGGCTTTATGATAAGAGCTCCTGCCCGAAGAGTTGTATGGTTAAAGTGGATATCCGGAAGGCATTCGACACTATCTGCTGGGACTTTGTGCTCAAACTGCTCGAGGCCCAGGATTTTCCTCCGCTATTCAGATGCTGGATTCAAGAGTGCATTACATCACCAAGATTCTCTATCTCATTAAACGGTGAATTGGCAGGTTTCTTTCGTGGGAAAAAGGGTCTAAGACAAGGCGATTCAATATCGCCATACCTTTTTATCATGGGGATGGAAGTGTTATCTCGACTCCTGCAAAAATCTGTAGAACAAGGGAAACTCAGGTTGCATCCGAAGTGCTCTGATCTGAGGATTACACACCTATTATTCGCTGATGACCTGCTTGTGTTCTCTGATGGCTCACGCCACTCCATATCAGGGATAAAGACAGTAATGCAGGAGTTCAAAGACTTGAGCGGACTGGATACAAATCCATCAAAATCAGAAATCTATTTTGGAGGCTATGATGAAATACAGTCAGCGGTTCTTACTGCTTTGTCTGGGTTCAAACGTGGCATATTTCCGACCAGGTATTTGGGTCTACCGCTTAACCCAAAGCGAATAACCTTAGCCACGCTGCAGCCATTTCTCGAGAAAGTGACAAGCAAGCTTCACTCATGGACAGTGAAACTCCTCTCTTTTGCCGGAAAGATCAGGTTAGTCTCCTCAGTTATCTAGGAATGGTCAATTTCTGGAGCTCTGTTTTCACCTTACCAAAACAGTTCTATGCGAAAGTGGATTCGTTGTGTGCTGCTTTTTTGTGGAATAACAAAACAAGCTCTGCTCGAGGGGCCAGAGTAGCATGGCGTGATATATGTAAACCAAAAGGGGAAGGCGGGTTGGGCATTCGTTTGCTCTATGATTTTGAGCAGGTTTTCAGGCTCAAACAGATTTGGAACCTGTTCTCAAACTCTGGATCCCTGTGGGTGGCTTGGGTTAACGCACATGTATTCGGAAGGAAAGGTTTCTGGTTGACCGAGGATACAAGCCGACATTCCAGACCTGTCAGGAGCATGTTGCAGCTGAAACATGTACTGGCTGACCTCATGCATTGTGCAGTCGGAAACGGACAAACAGCCTCCTTCTGGTATGACACCTGGAATGATATGGGGCGGATGATATCGGTGTTTGGTATCGGCGGGCCAAGAGAGCTCCAAATACGAAGAGAAGCAACCGTGAATGAGGCCACTCGAAATG